CTTGTGTACTAAATTATAATTCTAAACCAAAATTGCTATGTTAATTTCTATTTTCCTAGTCCGACTAATTCAGTCAATGCCTTTATTCTTATGAATGACAAATGTTTCCTTTTCTCTTTTATGCAAGCAGTGTTTAAAAAAATCAAAATCAAAGATAAGCTTCCCAAAACATTTTCAATAAATATGAATTCTAAATGTATAGAAACAGATGTTTATGTTTACAGTCAGTTGTTTTTCAGTAAAATAATCAGATGAAGCAATTTTAGCGTCAACATTTTCAGCTAATAATTTACTAAATAGGCTGTAATTTATGGACACACTGACGGTGGCTGCCTTATTTCAAACCTCCAATAACATATACAGTATTATTTGTTATTGCCTTAGTATTTATGATTACCAAAGGGCTATCTTCTTTTTTTTCTCTCTACAGAATTTTAACATGGTTGTGCTGATATGGAGGAGGTACTGTTTTAATGTTGTTGTTCAACAGTTCCAAGGACAATTTTTGACAGAAGACACAGCACAGAAAAGTATCTGTCAAAGATTGAAAAGACCCAGCATAGAAAATACAATATTCAATTATATGTTGCTGGGATTTTCAATAGATTGAAACTTTGGGTGGGTGAGAACAAGAAGTTATTGACATTTCACAGTAAAGACTCATGTAATGAAACATTATCCATACAGGTTTTTAAAATCATGTTCCTCATAAAATATTTCAGATAAAGGTAAAGGTTTTTCCTTGACATTAAGTCTAGTCGTGTCCAACTCTGGGGGGTGGTGCTCATCTCCATTTCTAAGCCAAAGAGCCAGCATTGTCTGTAGACGCCTCCAAGGTCATGTGGCTGGCATGACTGCATGGAGTGCCATTACCTTCCCGCTGAAGTGGTACCTACTGATCTACTCACATTTTAATGTTTTCGAACTGCTAGCTTGACAGAAGCTGGGGCTAACAGCAGGAGCTCACCTCACTCCCCGGATTTGAACCACTGACCTTTTGGTCAGCAGGTTCAGCAGCTCAGAGGTTTAACCTACTGTGCCACCATGGGATCCTTATTTCAGATAATGTTATACTTATTATTATAACTTGAAACTGGTGTACATCACAGGATTTAACTTTGAGCACAGAACTATTCTTTATGAGCAGGTGCTTTAGAATCTGTGCAACTGTAACATTCGACAGTATAATGTATCTATACAAGTTAAGTATCCTTTATCCAAAATGTTTGAGACCTGAGATATTTTGGATTTTTTTAAACAATTTTGATTACCTGTTTTTTCATACAGATACATAATAAGTTGTCTTGGTGATCAGACAAATCTAAATATCAGACTCATGTATGCTACCTTATACACATAGCCTGAGGATAATTTTATACTATGTCTTAATAATTTTGTGCAAGAAACAAAAGTTGTTTACACTGAACCATCAGAAAGCAGACATCCATGAGGACAATTTCAGAGTATTCTGTAAACCTAGATCAGGGATACTCAACCTATTGCCTTCTTACTCATAGATGTCACTGGATAAATTCTTCTTGAAATTATGATCAGAGAAATCCACCCATAACTTGATACACTTTAGCCATATAAATATGAAGGAAATGAGGAAGGAGCATATCTTTGTCAACTACAACATACAGAAAGCCAAAGCAGCCAATAAATGAGAAAAGAATTTGATTTTTTTTCTTGGTGAATTCATATTTCCTTGTTTTCCTGCTCCCAAATGATTGCATCAAACATTTCTCAATAGTTTTCAAAATGGGTATTACAGAGTACAGAAATAAGTCTATTATGTCTATTTATTTTATTTATTTATTTGCTATACTTGTATACCGCCGTTTCTCAGCCTAGCCGGTGACTCAACGCGGTTTACAACAACTTATAACAAACAACAGTATACAGTTTAAAAGCATAAAAACACAATCCACAGTACATATATCAATAAACAATCCAATTCATCTCTTGACTAAAATCGCGATCCAGTTTCGTCGTCCAAATTGCCAGTCCTTCAATCATTACACTTATTGCACTGAGTTAACCGAACGCCTGCTTGAACATCCAGGTTTTTAGTCTTTTCCGGAATACCATCAATGAGGGGGCTGATCTTACCTCCAAGGGCAGGGCGTTCCATAGCCGCGGGGCCACCACAGAAAAGGCCCTGTCTCTCGTACCCGCCAGCCGCACCTGTGAAGCAGGCGGGATAGAGAGCAGGGCCTCCCCAGAAGATCTTAGGGTCCTGGTGGGCTGATAGGCCGAGATACGTTCAGATAGGTAGGTTGGGCCAGAACCGTTTAGGGCTTTAAAGGCCAATGCCAGCACTTTGAATTGAGCCCGGTAGCAGATCGGCAGCCAGTGGAGCTGGTGCAGCAGAGGAGTTGTATGCTCCCTGCGCTCCGCTCCAGTTAGTATCATGGCTGCCGAGCGTTGGACTAATTGGAGCTTCCGGGCCGTCTTCAAAGGCAACCCCACATAGAGAGCGTTGCAGTAGTCTAAACGGGATGTAACCAGAGCGTGGACTACCGTGGCCAAGTCAGACTTCCCAAGGTACGGGCGCAGTTGGCGCACGAGTTTTAACTGTGCAAATGCTCCCCTGGTCACCGCCGAAACCTGGGGTTCCAGGCTCAGCGATGAGTCCAGGATCACACCCAAACTGCGAACCTGCGTCTTCAGGGGAGTGCGACCCCGTCTAACACAGGCTGTAACCCTATACCCTGTTCGGCCTTACGACTGACCAGGAGTACCTCTGTCTTGTCTGGATTCAATTTCAATTTGTTCGCCCCCATCCAGACCGTCACAGCGGCCAAGCACCCGTTCAGGACCTCGACAGCCTCCTTAGTAGCAGGTGGAAAGGAGTGACAGAGTTGGACATCATCCGCGTACAGATGACATCGCACTCCGAAACTCCGGATGATCTCACCCAGCGGCTTCATGTAGATGTTAAACAACATGGGGAGACAGTATTGAACCCTGAGGAACCCCACAAGAAAAAGGTTGTGGGGTTGAACAGGAGTCTCCCAATAACACCTTCTGAGACCGACCCTCGAGGAATGAGCGGAGCCACTGCAAAACAGTTCCTCCGAGACCCAATCCCGCGAGGCGTCCCAGAAGGATACCGTGGTCGACGGTATCGAAGGCCGCTGAGAGGTCCAGCAGTACCAACAGGGACACACTCCCCCTGTCGAGCTCCCGGCGCAGATCATCCACTAAGGCGACCAAGGCTGTCTCGGTACCATGCCCCGGCTTAAAGCCAGACTGTGCCGGATCCAGATAATCCGTGTCTACCAAGAATGCCTGGAGTTGTGAGGCCACCACACGTTCCAGACTTTGCCCAAAAAGGGGAGATTGGAAACAGGCCAAAAGTTGACGAATTGAGTGGGGTCCAGTGATGGTTTTTTCAACAGCGGTTTTATTACAGCTTGCTTTAAGCTGGCTGGAATTTTGCCTTCCCGAAGGGAGGCATTAACCACCACCTTCACCCACTCGGCCAATCCCCCTCTGGTCCTTTCAGAAGCCAGGATGGGCAGGGGTCTAGGATGCATGTGGTAGCTCTCATTCCTCCAAGCACCTTGTCCACATCCTCGGATTGAACCAATTGAAATGAATCCATCAAAACCGGACAAGCAGATGCTCGTGTTACATCCTCAGAGACTGCCGTTAATATGGTGTCCAGACCAGAGCGGATCAAAGCGACTTTGTCTGCAAAGAACTGAGCAAAGGCTTCACAGCGAACTGCCGAGTCATCAGGGCACCCATCCTGGATGGTGGGTTTTAAAGGCCTCTGACAACTCGGAACAGTTCAGCCGGACGGTTCTTTGCAGACGCAATAGTAGCCGCAAAGAAAGTCTTCTTTGCGGCTTTTATTGCCGCGGCATATGCCCTTAAAAAGGACACAAACCGTGTTCGATTTGGCTCGCTCGGATTCAAACGCCACACGCTCTCTAGTTCCCTCTTCTTTCGCTTCAACGCTGCCAGCTCCTCAGTGAACCAGTTTTCGAACATGGCCTAGCATAAGTCTTAGACTTGCATCTAAAATATATTGATTAGAAGGGACCACATAAAATGATCAATTAAAGGTTATTGCCAAAACAGTAAACATGCAGACACACACAAAATATGACACCAAAATGCAAATAGAAAAAAAGAACCAGGTTCCTAGCAATGCAGTTTCAGAATTAGTACATACTACACATAAAAATATAATTTCCCCAACAACCAGTTCTAACATTCAGCAGGAAAAAAACAAAGACAAATTTAATTGCTATCTATGTTCTGTATGCTTTAATTATAAAAGCAAAAAAGCAAATTTTGTCATTGGACCATGTACCATCAATTTGCTTAATGCCATTGTGTCTGTTATGCACAATCCAATGTTCCATTTTTACATTCCATTAATAACAGAACATCCTTTAACTGTCAGCGAGGTATTAAGCAGAGATACAGTGCCACCTTATGGCTAATCCCATCGCAATAATAACCGAAAATCTCATTTTTCTCTGAACACACCCGTTTCAGAAATGACCAACTTTCTTCCAATATCCAATGCTGTAATATCATTAAAACCAGGCAATGTCAACATTACACTAAATTAGATCAATTATAGTTTTTAGATATCAAGGAAATGTATTTAGGAAGCAATCTGTTTACAACTTTTTGTCCCAATTGTTTATGCATTCAAATCAATTTTGACATATCATCCCAAATGTTTCTATCAATTAATTATAAGAACAGCAACAGTAACAGCAGGTATGTTACAACAGTTCACCTGTATTTGCATTTCTTATTGTCACTCAACATTGCCACATATTCTTTTTTTTTCATGCACTTGATGCTAAAGACCTTTTTAAGATCTCCTGGAGATGTGTTACTCATGCAGTGTATCTACAATCACATCATTCTCTGTACTCTGAACTACAAAACTGTCCTATTACAAATCAAACTTTGTGAACAGCGGGAATAGGTCCAAAAAAGAATGTAATGACATACTGAGATTTACTTACACCAGTGAAACTATGTCTCCACGTTGTACTTCATAGTTCCGTATACTCCAGTGGTTTAAAAGCACTACATCCGACACCTGCCTTTCTTCTGGATTCAAAGAAGGCTGAGAGGGAAGGAGGAAACAGAGGTGAGAATTCTGAATGAAAGTCAAGGGGGGAAATCAATTACAATAGAATTTCAATATCTGCGGAATGGATATGCAAGTTTACTCATCCACAGCTTTACTGATTCACTTAGGAGCTTCTGTTCAAACAACACTCTTCTCTATACTGCCATTGTTTCTCCCATTGAAAATATTAGGGTTTGCTATTATCCACAGTTTCACATATCTACGTGAAATCAAGAAATGTATCCTCCATGGATATAAGGCTTGTGCTGCCTTGTAGAGAAATCTGGAACCATATACAGAACATTCTATGTATCTAAACTCCATACTGCTTCACTCAGACTATGTTTTATTCTCCCTGCACTAAATCAATGGAGAGGAAATCAACGTTTCCAAATATTTCGTACCATTTCCCCCAAACTGCATCCAGCAGTTAACAGAAAGGAATTGTGAATGTTCAAATCCAGCTGGGGAAAAATGGTTATCAACCATTGATTTAAAGACACCTAGGGTACAGTACAAAAGATAACATTCGACACAAAATTACTAGGAGTCCCAGAACTCAGGCAGCACAATCAACTACTACAAATTTTGGGATTTGTAAACCAAAATCCCTCCACACACTTGGGACTACAGTGTTCCCTCACCTATCACGGGGGTTCCTTTCCAGAAACCCCCGCGATAACTGAAAAACCATGATGTAGTGACACTATACTGTATATATACATCATGGCTCCGCCCCCTCCTCTCTCTCCCTTCTCTCTCTCCTCTTTCCCCCTCCCTCCCCCCTCCTCTTGCTGGAACCACCCTTCTCCCTCCCTCCCTGCTTTTCCACTGGCATGGGGCTCTCACTCGGTCACCCAAGGCAGAGTGACCGGGAAGAAGACCCAACAGGAGCTGCCTTGGTGGCCCTCTCTGGTCCTGGTGGAAGCTGCCTTCACAACCCTCTCTGGCCCCGGCAGAAGCTGCCTTGGCAGCCTTCTTTGGCCCCAGAAGAAGCTGCCTTGGCAACCCTCTTTGAACCCAGAGGAAGAAACCCCGGCAGAAGCCCCTAAATTAATTTTTTTTGAAAAGCCACAAAACAGTGAGTTTGCGGTTAGCGAACCGCAAAGCGGCAAGGGAACACTGTATTTCTAAATAGTCCAAGTTTAGAAAAAGAGGTGTGTGTGTGGAAGGTTGATGGGCTACAAATTTGCATCTGTATACTAAGCTCATCAAACTATTAAATTCAGATGAAGGTTTGCTTCTTGTCAGAAATTTCCTGCCATAAGGGGGCTTAAGACTAACTTGCATGTCACCAATTTGTAGCAATCATCATTAAAGTCATAGGGAATATTATTGCCCTTGTAAATAAAATTACTGAAATAGAAATGTCATAAGATATATAGGTATAAATAGGTTTAATAACTTATGAAATTGTGAGTTTCTATGGCAGAATGTTGAGAGTACTAGTTTTTGAAGTTTAATAGCACCTATCACTGCATAAGTAATCGTCAACATCATGGGCGATCACTCAGCCAAGTGTGATTGTCTTCCAGGGGTAGTGTCTTGCCAATGGATCCATAAATGATTGCAATCCAAATGAATCGAAATGGTTTTTCACATTGAAGACATAGATTTCCAGGTGGAATGCGGTCATGACAAGAATGTGATTGACATGCTTTCCTCCTGGCATGTTTCATCTTTTTGCCCTGTATTCCCGTCTTCTGAAAGTCCATAGCATCGTTGATAACAGCAGTACTCCAGTTACAATGCTCAAATGCCAGGGCTTCCCAGTTCTTGGTGTTTACAGCACATTTTTTAAGATTAGCTTTAAGTCCACCTTTAAATCTTTTTTGTTCTCCACAGATATTCCATTTTCTCTTCTTGGGAGGTGGCTTTTGGGAGCCAGTGATTGGACATTTGGACTACCTGGCCAGTCCAGTGAAGTTGATAGCGGACAATGATAATTTCAGTACTGCTGGTCTTTGCTTCTTGCAGAATGCTAACATTTGTTTGCCTGTCTTCCCAAGATAGCTGCAGGATTTTTTTGAAGACAATGCTGATGAAATCTTTCCAGGAGACATGAGTGACGTTTGTAGATGGTCAAGGCTTTCCAGAGGTACAATAGAGTTGAAAGGACAATCGCTTCATAATAAGTAATACATCAGTAAGAAAATCATGAAAGTCTGGTGGCATTTTGTTAACCATTTGTTCTATTTTCCCCAGACAAGGGGAAAACCAACCATAGGAAATGGTTATGTAAAACCATGAGATTAAATAGTCATAATAAGAAGTAGAAATGTATTTTCTGATAAACAAATAACAATTCTTTAGTGAAAGTGAACTCCTCATTGCTGCTTGTTAATAGAAAGGTTATAGAAACAGAGGTCAAAGGCTCTTTTCGCAATCCGGGACATATTACTCAATGACCTTTGACCTAATGCCAATGATCAATATTAGCAGAGGTGACTGTGTCAGCCACTAGCTGGTAACCTAAGATGGCCAGGGCCATGCCCTCTCAACAATACGATTTTGCACAGAGCACTACAGAAAAGCAGAAACAATATGAGAAAATAATGGGGGGTTTTGACCCACATCTTTCAAATAAAGAGAAGCCATTGTAGTCAGCCTGACCAAGGGATCACCAAGTCCTGAAGCCAATGGCAAAAATATCCACATTAGTTAGCTCTCCCAGTGTTGTGACACAGCTGGAATCAGAGAGTGTTTCTGACGAGGATGATGGGACTCAGGTTCACAGTTTGGTTCAAAATGTCCCTGCTATAGACAGTGAAGAAGTGCAGTTTCTCACAGCGAAGCATGAGAGTGTTGATACTGAAAATAGTCAGGTGCAGATTAACTCCGAGAAGGAAGACAGCTCTTTGCCTGGTTCTCAGCCTGATAAGGAAAAACAGGCTGACGCTAATGAGCAGATTGACCTTGATGATATGGGAACTTTAGATCGGGCTGATCGGTTGGAATTCCGTGTTCGAAGGAGTGAGAGGATAGCAAACAAGAGGGAGGCCAGAGAAACGCCTTCATGTTTTGCAAAGGGTATTAAACAGCGTGTTTGAAACCAGATCTTTGTCAAAGCAACTTCGTGTTTACCTAAGGAGCTTGCCTAGGCTAGGCTGGATTATCTTGCAGTCTTTGTGTTCATGGTTTCCAGGACTTTGTCATGTTCTCTTGGGTCTTGCTTTGCTTATGCCTATTGGATTATGCTTCAAGTGCTGTGTTATCCTGATCTTTTGGAACATTAACCTTTGCTTTTATGTACTTTTTACCTTTTATTTTTAATAAACAATAAAGACTTCTGGCTGTATGCAGTTTGGTTTTTTCAGCAAGGTGAATCTACTCTGAGGTGCAACAACCAGGTCACTCTCCCAGTTAATTCAGAAATGTTAAAAACCATGATATCACATTACCAGAGAGTTTGCTCTGGTTGGCCTCACATAGGCACATAGACAACCATTCAAGTTGCCTTCAGATAGACAGGATAGAGAAAATGCAGCCCACAGTTTTGAAGTTCCTAGGGAGCTTCAAAACTTTTGCCAATAGTTACTGAACATGGCAGTGGTGAATTAGAGTCTGGAATCACTAGACCAGTGGTTCCCAACCTTTAGTCCACCAGGTGTTTTGGACTTCAGCTCCCACAATTTCTAACAGCTAGTAAAGTGGCTGGGATTTCTAGGAGTTGAAATCCAAAACAACTGGAGGATCAAAGGTTGGAAACCACTACCTAGAACTGTGGTTCTCAACCTGTGGGTCCCCAGGTGTTTTGGCCTACAGCTCCCTGAAATCCCAGCCAGTTTACCAGCTGTTAAGATTTCTGGGAGTTGAAGGCCAAAACATCTAGGAACCCACAGGTTCAAAGCCACTGGCCTAGACAATGATAAGCCAGTATCTCATTTTGGATGCAGTTGCAGACTCATGTTCAAAGAGGATGCCAGACATACTGGAATATCTGATCTCAAAATTACTTGACTTTCCATGCTGTTAACAAATTCACATTAGAATCCAGACAGAGACTTTCAGTGGCATAAAAGTAAAGCAGTGTGTGTTTGTTTAAAGTAAGTCCCTGTGCTTTGAGAAAAGAAGAAGAAGATATAAACATTTAAACAAAGAATGAAGGTCTTATATATTAACATGTCTTCTCTTTCCACCAAAGTACAGCCTATATGCATAGGGCCACCTGCAGAAGTCTACAAATGGATAAGAGAAGCAGTGAAGAGAAAACTGAAAGGTGACATGACTGTACTTTTTAAATACCATAAGAACTGCCATGAATAGGAAGGTGCAGACTTGTTCTCTACTACCTTAGAGGATAGAACTAGCTCCACAGAGGGTAAAGTTTACAGGAGGGTAGATTTTGAACATTAAAACCATCTTCTTGACAGAACAATTTGGCAATACAGTCAACTGTCTAGAGTGGTGATGAGGTTTCTTTCTTTGGATATCTTCAAAAACTAAGCCAGACAGTTACTTGATATGATGATCTAGCTAGAGATCAAGCATTAAACAGGGGAACAGTGTCCTTCCAACTCTATGATTCTATGAAGGAATGACAGAATCCAGGGACTGCCCTAGCATTGGGGAGCGTAAGACAGCCACTTAAAGAAGCACTTCTACAAGCAATGAAAGAACTGGTAGTTATTTTGTTTGTTTATTTTTACTTACAAGAAAGTCGTATCTCATGTGTCAAAATATTGTGGCTGGCTTTAGGATAAATAGGTATAAAGAGCACCATCTTTTCTGGTTCCACTCATGCCTTGAACCATCCTGAAAGAATTGACTTTATATGAAATTTGATATTGGGAGATGGAATAAAACAGCATTCCAGCTAACAACTGCTAAAAAAAGTCGGAAGCATTTCAACATGAGCAGCTGTCAATTTAAGGGTAGAATTATTCTCGTTCCTCCTGACTACTTATTTCCAAGATGATTTAGAGAAGTTGGCCTCCACCAACTGTGAACTATTAAAAGTCTCAGGTGCCATGCATGACCAGACTTATGTTTGA